AGGAAGGGGTCAGACTAAATGGCCTCCCAGGTCCCTTCCAGCTTGAGATCAGTGATCAGGAGACCTGTGACTTTCAGTATAGGAACTCGCAGTGTGACAATTCTGCACACCCAAGCTAATCACCTCCCCTTCTCCCCCTCCCCCATAGAACTTAGCACCTTAGAATGTTGCCTAAGATTAGTGTGTCTCCCAAGGTCACACAGCTAGAAATTGCCAAGGTAAGATTTAAGCCAGGCTGCCACGTCCAGCACCTCATCCACCATCCCATGCCACAAATGCAGTAATTGTTGCCTAGGTATAATTCTGTTCTGAAGAGTAATTGCTTATTAACTTAAATAAAGACCCTCTACCTTCCCGAGAGAGGCCATTAGAGAAATACATTGACTGAGATAGCAACCCAGCTAATTCATGATCTTTCAGTATTTCGAAGCTCCCTGTGCCCTCTCTAGGACTTAGGATCAGGTCTGGTTGAAAAATTCACCTGTCCCTTGCCAGCCTGGGGAATGGGCTTCCCAGGCCTGCCCTCACTGCCTTTTGCATCTGGCCACACCTGCTAGCACTCACGCTCCAATGACAGAGCCCGGGGTCACCCCGGGACAAGGACGAGCATCTGAGGCAGAGTCGAGGTTCTCTGGAAATATGAGCCAACCTCAGTGTCTTGGTCAAGTCAGGAAGGACTGCAATAAAACAAGGTGTACGGCCTTCCACAAAGGTCATAGCTGACACAGAAGTGTAAGTCCGGCCATAACTAACACCTTGTCCAATTGTCATGTACTGATATGGGCCTTTTCTAGCCTTGTATCAGAGGCCCCCATCTTAGCGGAAAGTGAGCTGCTCTTGGCGTCAGGGAGTCCTGAGTTCAAATGTCACCTATGAATGTATAACATTGGACAAGTCACCTTCTCAGTGCCCTAGGAAGCTCCCAAAGACTCTAAGTCAAAGAAGGGGTACTGATCTATATTGGCAGAGAGAATGTCCTCACGAGGCCTTCTCTCCACCAGGAAAATGACACCATCCATCCAGGGCCATCCATCATCCATCTTCCCACCCATCAAACGGATAGATTTGTCTTTTCATTTTTTTATACTGTTCTAAGATCTTTCTTCCTTCCCTTTTGAGGGTTGAGGGTCATTTAATTTCTCAATGAGGGTCAGTTAACTTCCCCAGGCAACTCTTTAAGACTGTAAGAGCTTAATAGTTTTATAGTCAATATGTATTGAGTGGCCAGGCCTGGAGTCAAGAAGATTCCTCTTCCTGAGTTCAAATCTGGCCTCAGACACTTCCTAGCTATGTGACCCTGGGCAAGTCACTTAGCCTTGTTTGCCTCAGTTTCATCTGTAAAATGACCTGGAGAAGGAAATGGCAAACCACTCCAGTATCTTTGCTAATAAAACCCCAAATGGGGTCACAGAGAGTCAGACACGACTGAAACTCTACTAGTATTATCTCCATTTTACAGATGAGGAAACCGAGACTCAGGGAATTAAAGCAATTTGCCTGGAGGCAGAAAGGGAACCCAGGTCCCCTGCTCTCCTCCTTGTACCAAGCTGCCTCTCCATTTCCTCCCATTCACCCATCTCTTAGACAAGAAGTTATGTGATTAAAATGGCCAAGCCTGGCCCTAGAAAAGAATGAAAAATGAGAAAATGCACCTGGCCCCTGTTTGATAGAGGCAGGGGCTTATGGGTGGAGAACATTGCATAAACTGTCAGACTGCATCAAGGGTTAGATCTGCTGAACTGATCGCCTTTCCCCACCCCACCTCTCTTTTTTATTTATTTTATTTAAGGGATAGATGGTTTTCTGGGGGGAGAGGAGGAAAAAATCATTGGGAAGTGAAGATTTTTTTTAAAAATCCAAAATATATCAATACAAATTAAAATCAAAGGAAAATTCTGAAAGAATCTGTTACAGATGAGTTGCTGGTCTGGGTTAACAGAGGGAGTTTCTACACCAGGAATCTGAATGTGTCTCAGGTCTGGACAACAAAAGGTCTCTACCTTGCTCCACTGAAGGGGCTTTTTCAAGAAAAGTGCTCTGTGAAGAAGGTAGGGGATGCCGTAGTCCAGAGTACTGGGCCTGTTGTCAGGAAGGCATGAGTTCAAATCCAGCCTCAGACACTTAGCTCTGTGACCCTGACCAAGTCACTTCACTTATTTTTACCTCAGTTTCCTCAACTGTGAAATGGGGATAATAATAGCACCCATCTCCCGGCATTACTATGAAGATAAAATGAGATGATGTTCGTAAAAATGCTTTGCAGACCTTAACGCGCTGCAAAAAGGCCAGCTATGATGTCACAGCCTGGTGCTGTGGGGAAAATGCTGGATTTGGAATGGAAGACAAGAGTGCAAATTCTTTTTCTGCCACTAGCTCCTGCGTGACTTTGGCGAGTTATCCAAGCTCTGTGTCTGTGATCCTGTTTCCCAATCTGTAAAAGGAAAGAGTTGGAGCTCCTAGCCTCTGAGGGGACCTCAGCTCTCTCTATAGTCACATGCTGCTAAATGGTTATCGAATCAGAGGAAATTGAATGCCACGGGGGCCAGCCTCATTAGTAGACCGACATTGGTTTATTAGCATTAGAACTCAAAAACATCAATCTGAGGGGAAAATCTGGGCTTGTCACTTGCAGCCCTCCTCAGGAGGCAAACGTGGCGGCCGACACTGAAACATCATGAATGATCATTACAGCAGCTGACATTAACACGGCCCACATTAAGGCTCGAAAAGTCTTTTCATCTCCTTCGGTCCTCAGAAAAATCCTGTAAGGTCGTCGTGGGGGAGAAGGGAAGAAGCATTTATTAAGCGCCTACGACGTGCCAGGCACTGGGCTAAGTGCTGCAGATACAAAGAAAGGAAAAACCCAAACCAGTCTTTGCTCTAAGGGGAGATCGTGGTGTAATGTGGAGACAACAGGCAAACAGTTAATGCACACGCAAGATTCAGAAGGGATCGAGTGGGGCTGGCCCCAGAAGGAAGCGCTAAGATGAAGGAGGACTGTGTCTTACAAATGAGGAAACTGAGGCTCAGAGGGGAAGCGACTTACCCAGCATCGCGCAGCCAGTGGGAGCCCAGATCCCAGTGATCTTTCCAGCCCCCCAGGCCGCCTCTGAAGAAGGCAGTGAGGAGACAACCGCCGCCAACACCACTTCCCCTGCAGGGAAGGTAGGTGGCGTCGTGGATAGAGCACCGACCCTGGATTCAGGAGGTCCGGAGTTCAAATCTGGTCTCAGATATGTAACACTTACTAGCTGTGTGACCCTGGGCAAGTCACTTAACCCCATTGCCTAAAAAATAAGAAAAACCCACCATTTCCCCTGCACCATCTTGCTCCCTGGCTGGGATTCCCATCAGGCCCCGCCCCCTCCATAGTACACGGGTCCTTCCTGCTCTGTTTCTCCCTTCCCTTCTCAGTCTGCATTGAATTTTAAGGAGGCCGGCCCGTAGAGCTGTGCATGGGAAGCTGCTCTTTGAAAGGAACGATCCTGGTGGCCCAGTAGCCGCTCAAGCACTTGGCCATAACCCTCCTCGGGGCCAGGGGTCTGGGGAAGGGGGAGGGAGGCCAGCCTCAGCTCTCGTTTGGGAATGAGGACGAAGGCTTACATCAGATAACTGCATGGTCAGGCTGTTTGATCAAACCAGCCGGTGGCGAGCAGCTTTCTCCAAGCTCTCATGGCGTCCCCAGACTAGCCGGTATTTATTCAGTATTTGCCTCCTTGGGAGAGTAGGACTGATTTATTCTTTGTCTCTGTGCCCTCCGTGCTTAGTACACAGTAGGCGTTTAATAAATGCACGATCCATTCTCGGTTAGACCTTCTCCACATCGACCTCCAATTCAACCTTGTTTTTGGAACTACCATTCTTTAATCCCAGTTCTAAGTGGAACAACATCGCTCTCTCTCCCACATAACAGTCTTAAAGATCCTTGAAGCAGGCATCCCATAATACTTCAGCTTCTCTTCAAGCCTGTACCTAGCATGGGGGCAATGGAGGCTTGTTGCAGGCTGCTTGTGTGCAAGGGAAAGGGACGCCTCATCTCCAGGAGCACACGCTTCCTCTCAAAAGGAACCGCCCTCCCTGCACTTCCCTTCAGGGCCCTCCCATAGTCTGCACCTCCACCCTTCCAGCTGTCACCCTCAAAGCCCAACCACTTTCTTGGCCTTTCTTAGAGCCCACCCTCCCCTCCAGCCTCCACGGGGGTGATGGCTGGACTCCTCTCCGGCTGAGACTGTTGTTCAATAGTTTCAGTCATGTCCTACCCCTTGTGGGGTTTTCTTGGCAAAGATACTGGAGTGGCTGTCCGTGTCCTTCTCCAGCTCATTTGACAGATGAGGAAACTGAGGCAAATAGGGTGAAGTGACTTGCCTAGGGTCACACAGCTTCTTAGGTGCCTGAGGCTGGATTTGTACTCAGATCTTCCTGACTCCAGGCCTGGGGCTCTATCCATTATGCCACCTAGCTAACCCTAGGTGAGACAGTGCCTGCACACTCAGCACAGTGCCTGGCACAAAGTAGGCACTTAATAAATGCTTATTGATTGATTCGTTAAAGTCGGCATCTACACCATGCCATCTCCCTGCGGCCTGTTTTTGCTTCAGCTAAAACATTCTCCTTTCCTTCCACCTGTCCTTGCCTGGCATGGGATTGACCACCACCCCTGACATCTCCTGCTCCTCCTCCAATTTATCAGTGCCCTTCTAAAATGCGGAAGGAGCTCTGACCAGCAGAGGACAGTGGAACTCTGGGAGGTTATGCCGTTCTCTTATTGAAACCTAAAAAATGTCAGCTTTTTTTTTTTAGCAGTGACACGGTGTTGTTGATTTGTGGGATTATAGAGTTGGTGCTAGAAGAGGCCAAGTCCAAATTCTTCATTTCCAGGAAACCAAATCACAGAAATGAAATGACTTGTCCTGGGTGACGCAGTTAGTAGTTACTAAAAGCCCTGTACTCGAGCTGTTGCTGTTTTGGCCCTGATAAAGTTTACATTTGTCCCTCTTCAGTTTTGTCTTGCAGGTTTGGCCCACCATTCCAGCCTGATTTGGGATCCTGCTTCAGCCACCCAGCGTGCTCGCTACCCCTGCCAGCCTCGAGTTCTCCAAGTCGTTGGTAAGCACGCATTCAATGCTTAATTCATGACTTCAGAGCCATTAATGTCACATACAAGACAGCTAAGGACAGAGCACAATGAGAAATCCAGAGAATGTCTAGCTGAGACGTTAATCCACTCATTCCTTTTAGCAGAAATCATTCAGCCAACTGTGAATCCACGTAATGCAGACTCATCCATCCCTCACCTCTGCATCTCAGAAAGTCTATAAGGACAGACTTTATCTAATGTTTTGCCAAAATATACACCAGCCATCTCTTGTAGAGCTGTCTGGTAACCTGGCTGAAAGGGGAGGGAATAAAAGCTGTGACAGTTCATGGTGGATAGTGACCAGAGAAGGCTTCAGGGAGAGGGGCCTTGCAGCCTGGGGAGGACATGGAGAGGAGACAGGAGGCTGTCCCAGATGTGAGCAAAGGTTTGGAGGTGGGAATGAGCCAGACATGTTCTGGGAGCAGTGACTGTACCAGGGGTCTTATTGGGAAGGACTAGAAGATAGGAAAAGCAAATCAGACACAGATTATCAAGGGCCTTGAGTGCCAGATTAAGGAATTTGAAAATTATCTTCAAATAAAGGGAGACAGTATGGAACAGTAGAAAGGGGCTGTGTTTGGAGTCAGAGGTCCTGGGTTCAAATCTTAGCATAGATATTGACCACCTACCTATGTGACACACTTTCCCTCTAACCCTTGGTTTCTTCCTCCGAAAATGAGTGAGGAGGACATAAGGGCCCTGCCTGCCATAGGGACACCTGTAGAACACTTCCTTAGGAAATTCTACCAACACAAATCAATATGTGCTCTGCAAATTCTAGCCTTGATGCATTTCCTGAGCCACTGAAAAGTTCAGTGACTTGCCCAGCGTTACACATGCCAGTAAATGCCAGGGGCAGAACTAGAACCCAAGTCTTCCTGACGTCTAGGACACTCTCTACCCATTATACCACACTGCCTTTGAAAGTTGCTGATAGCTTTACATCCATGCTCCTACTGGGGCCTCACAACAAAAACTTTGAATTCTATTTTGTACCCATTTTGCAGATGAAGAAACTGGACCCCAGAGAGGGGAAGTGGCTTGCTAATGGTGTCTGAGGTGGGATTCAGACCCAGATCCGCCTGCTGCCTGAGCCAGCACTCTTTCCACTAAGCCAGGAGCTGTGTCTCAGTCCCCTTTCGCATTTGGTCTAGTGAAACCTAGAGGCCCCTTCTCAGAACCAAGTTGTTAAAGGCATAAAAGAAAAATACAAAGAAAACCAATTCTACGGAAATACAGTTATCCAAGCATTTTCCAAAGCAAGCCACGGACTCCAGCTGAGGAAGCCCAGCCTCGTGCCTAGGCTTCCCTGGTCTTTCACGCCCACCCTCTGCCCTCCCTTTCTTTGTCCTCCTTCGCTCTCCATGAAAAACCTTCTCAGGAAGAAGAGGGAGATGATTAAAAAAGAGGAAAAGCATTCATGAGAAAAATGCAATCTGGGGAGGCAGGCAGGGCCTGCAGAGCCAGGAGGGAGGGAGCTGATTAAACGGGGATGGAGGAGGAGGCAGGCATCAGCCTCGCCAACTTTCCCCAGAGCGACGGCAAAGCTGACCCTGCTCTCAGAGCTCCCAGATCTGAAACCTGGCACAGGGAAGAGCAGAGAGAGCATCAGCTGAGGACGGGGAGACCCCAGCGCTGACGGGGCCTCCTACGTGGCCACAGGCACTAGATTAGATCTGAGGACCAGGATTCAAATCCTGCCTCAGCCACTTACTCCCCGGGGAGCCTGAGCATCTGCTCCCTCTGGAAAATGAGGAGGGGTGGGCTCGATGGCCTCGAGGCCCTTTCCAGCCCTGTCTCTGCTGTCCTCTGACCCGAGGTCCCCACATCTCTCTGGGCCTCATTTCTCCATCTTTACAGTGAGAGGGTCCTGTGTTACTACAGAGATAGCAGCTTGTGGTCTCTCAGGGACACGCAGGGGCAGCCCCCTAATGGGGTCTGCTAGTGGGCTCCAGCGCCACTGCCGATGGACGGCGTCGATCCACTTGGCAGGCCGGGAGGAGGTGCCGAACTACGCCCCCCCCACACCTCTTGTCCTGCCCATTGGCAACAGCTCTCCGCCCCTCCCCAAAGAATTCAGTCACTTCCCCTTAGTCTCTTGTCACGGCAGACGTCCCTGCTGGCTACTTTCAGAAAGAGCCGAGCCGGCAGCAGGGATGAATGGCCGTTTGGGGAGCCTACCTGAGCTCAGGCCAGGAATAGACGGGCCACAAGGAAGGGCCTGCCGGGCGGCCTCCCCCCTAGCTCGGCATGACCAGATCAGCAGCTGATGGATGATTGTTCCCTGACAAGCCGTGGAGAATGGCCTCCCAGCCCCAGCTTTCCCTCACGCTGCTCCTTGCAGGGATTAATGCCTTCCTGGGGCTTAAAAGGGAAAAATGAATGGGTTAGCTACGGAGGGGGGAAAGATGACATGTCCTGAATGTGCAAAATCATCTTTAAGGTGGAGGTTTCTTGAAGCAAGGCAAGAACATTGGTCTGGGCCTCGAGAGGGACGGGTTCTCGGCTCCACTCTGCCACTGTCCGACTGTGTGACCTTGGGCAGGTCACCTCCCTGGACCGCAGCTTCGTCCTCTGTCAAAGGGTGGACAGTAAGGGCTGGCACTGATAGAGCATGCTAGGGAATTCCTTGCAGGCCAGCTCTGTCTGTCAAAAGAGGGGACCGACCTTGGAGGCTTCTCAGGTCCTCTCCACTGGAGACCTGGGAGCCTTCTATGGGCACGACTGTTGCCATCTGCTCACGGACTGGTCAATCGAAAGTTCACAGAACTGGGGAAGATCTTCAAGGCCACTGTTCAAAACCCCACCACCACCATTTCATAGGTGAAGACACTAAGACTTGGAGGTGGAAGTGACTCACCCAGGGTCACCTGGACAGCAAGTAGAAGAACTGAGATTTGAGCACAGGGTGCAGGATGGTAGGCTTAGCTCTGGAAGGGATCTCAGAGGCCTCCCATTTTACACTTGGGGAAACTGAGGCTTGGGGAGATGAAGCAGTTCGCCCAAGGTCGCATAGGGAGCCAGCGGCAGAGCCAGGATTCAAACCCAGACATCTTTGACTCCAGACCCGCTGCTCTCTGCCCCCTGCCCCAGGCTCCTCCTGGGAGGAGGCACCCAAAGGAGAAAACCCTTGGAGCCCTGAGGCTTTTCAAGAAAATGCAGGTTGGGGGGTCTGGGGCTGTCACTCCAAACCAGCCCCAACTCGACAGGGGGCTTTGCTGCATTAACTGAAGTCTTTCAGTGGGAAAAAGCATGGGTTTGGAGGCTGGCTCGGTGTGCCCTGCTGCCCCCTGCTGGTACCTGGAATTCTGAGGACCATGGCTTTTTTTGAGCCAGAGATGGGTCAGTTTTAAGACTCCTTAAATGATTCCGTAGAGTTGGACCGCAGGGGGACTTCAGAAAGTGACCAGCTCCTGGTGAGCTTCCCTGGAAAGGCAGCTGGGGAGAGAGCCCCAGAAGCCCTGGGCTCCAATCCATGCTCATGCTACATACCCTTCCTCCCCAGGACATTGGGCTCCCCTTTCGGGATTTCAGGTTCCTTAGTTTTCAATTAAAGAGGAAGGGAGAGTACAGAATGAGCATGCAGAGTAGAAAGGGGCCCAGCCAGGCTCATACCCCGCCATACCTCTCCCACAAAGACCTAGAAAACGCCCTAGTCCGGTCTGGAAGAATGAACAAGCACACCGACCTTTCCAACAAGATCAAGGATGACTGCTTCTCGCCATTACTACTCAATATTTCATGCCAGAAACACTAGATAACTCAACAAGACGAGGAACAGAAATTAGGGAATAAGCAAAGAGGAAACAAAAGTATCACTTTTTGTGGGCGCTATGATGGTTTACTTGGAAAATCCGCAAGAGTCATCCAAAAAACTAATTAAAACACTAGAAAGCCCAGGGATAAACGGATATTCCTTAATATAAGTAGCGTTCAAGTGGGACCCGCTGTGGGGATTCTACAGCCTTTTGATATCAGCTCGCTCATTAAGAGCCACAAGGGGCCTCCGATGCCATGTAATTCAGCTCCTTCATTTTTACAGATGAAGAAATTGAGGCTGAAAAAGAGGAAGTGATTTGCCTACGGTCATACAGCTATTAAGTAGAAGAGCTAGGATCTGAACCCAAGCCCCAAGCGTCTAATCATAGTGCTGTTTCCATTATGTTAAGGGAAAATCACCTGCCTAGGGAGTTCACACTTTATTTAGTAATAAGAATAGCTAACAGTTACATTGCACCGGCCACGTGTTAGCTAGGTGGTGCAGTGAATAGAGTGCCGGGCCTGGAGTCAGGAAGATCTGAGTTCAAATCTGGCCTCAGACGCTTCCTAGCCGTGTGACCCTGGGCAAGTCACTTGACCCTGTTTGCCTCCATTTCCTCATCTGTAAAATGGGCTGGAGAAGGAAATGGCAAACCAGACCAGCATTTTTGCCAGGAAAACCCCTGATGGGGTCACGAGGAGTCAGACACGACTGAAATGACTGAACAATGATAACTATGTGCAGCCACTGGGCTAAGTGCTTCACAATTATTGTCTTCTTTCATCCTCACAACAACCCTGGGACATAGGTGTTATTATTATCTCTGTTTTACAAATGAGAGAGCTGAGGTGAAGTGACTTGCCCAAGGGCACCATTACAGTAAGTATCCAAGACCAGATTTGAACTCAGATCTTCCTGACTCCAGGCCCCAAACTCTATCCATTGGGCCACCCAGCTGCCTCAGTCAGCAGCGGGAGTCCACTCGTTCAGTGAAAGGAACACTGGATCTGGAGGACTGAGGACCTGAGTTCGAATTTCTACTCTCCCTCTTATAGCCTAAAAGACCCAGGATAACATACTTTCCACTGCGGGCCTCAGTTTCCTCATCTGTAGGTGAGGGTATTGCATAAATGACCTCCGAGATCCCTTTCAGTTCTAGAGCTATAGCTCTATAACTAAACAATTCTGCACAATGACCCCCGGGGGTCCTGGGTGCTCCGCTTCTGTTTCTCTGCTACGGGTTCACGGAAATTCACATTTGCTAAGGATGCATAGCAAAAAAAAAAAAAAGCAGCTCCTGAGAGACACTTCCATTCTCCTGCTTTGTAGGGCGGCCAGCTGGGCCCCACATGAGGCCTTCCCTCTGCTCTCAAAGCCCTGCAAAATCTCCCGTCCTCTGCCTACTCACCCCTACATGTGCCAGGCCCCCTCTCCTCACAGCTGCCTCTCAGAATCCTCCTCGACTCAGCCCCAGGAAGCCTTTCCTGATGCCCCCATCCCAGCCTCCCCTCACTAGACTTGCCAGCATGCCTGCCTGTCCCCAAGCAGGGTATCAGCCCCTGGAGAACAGAGACATCTGGCTGTTCATCTTTGCCTCCCCAGCACTCGGGACAGGGCCCTGCACATGGCCTCAAGGACCGGCACCTGTCTGTGTCCCTGCCCTGTTCCTGGGGCGCTGGGGCCATACTGTCACTACCAGAGGAAGCAGAGGCTCAGTAACTTAGAGGGTCACAGATTCAGAGCTGGAAGGGCCTCCAGAGACCATTAAGTCCAGTCCTCTCATTTTACAGAAGAGGAAACTGAGGCCAGAGAAGAGAAAGTAATTGTCCAAGGTCGCATAATGTCAGATGTAGGGCTGGAACCCAGGTCCTCCTGACTCCAGTGACCTATCCACCACACCAGGCAGGTATATAAAGGGTGGGATTTGAACCTGTGTGTGCTTAATACACAGTTGAGGAGCCAAACTGGAGTGGACCTGAAATCAGTCTGTTTGGGGGCCCCCGTGTCAGGCATGACTCATGAGCAGACTGTCGACTATATTCCAGAGGCCCAGGCCTCTGGTGATCTTAGCTCACACAGAGGCGTGTGGCTGGTCATGCCAGCATCTATCAGGGGCATGCCAGCCTGTGGGGCAGCCCCCCAGCATCCCCAGCTGCCCCTACCCCAGCCCAGGAGGCCCTCGGCTTCCCTCCCTTTGCCTCCCATGTCCTGGCTCCCAGCCCACACGGAATGACGCAGAAGTAGGGGGAGACCTTCCCACTCAGAGCTGTCCCAATTTACTAGTGATTGAAAGTGCTTACTGCTGGAGAATTGTTTGTTAGCCAACCTCCAGTGAGCGTTTGAGATGCAGTCAAATTTGCAGCAGCAGCAGCAGCAGCAGCAGCAGAAATGTTTTTGTTGCCAAACTGCGGCTTTGAGGATTCCTGTCTTCCTGACAGCCGGTCTCTTTCCCGCAGAGCCCAAGGACTCCAGGGGTCACAGAGGCTAAGCCTGGCACCATAACAGGATAAATCTCTAGATCCAGTTCAGCAAACAGTTACTGAGCATCTGCTCTAGCTCATATTTCTAGAGCCCTATAGACATATTGTTTCATGCGATCCTCACAGCATCCCTGGGAGGTCAGAGCTACTATTAGCCCCACTTTAGAGATGAGGAAACTGAGGCAAACAGGGCTAAGTGACTCACCCAAGGTCTTGTTCTTCAGCCGTGTCTGACTCTTCTTCATGACCCCATTTGGGGTTTTCCTGGCAGAGACACGAGTGGTTTGCCATTTCCTTCTCCAGCTCATTTTCCAGATGAGGAAACTGAGGCAAACAGGGTGAAGTGACTTGTGCAGGGTCACACAGGGCTAACTGTCTGAAACAGGATTCTCAATTACGTCCTCCTGAATTCAGGCCTAGTGCTCTGGTCACTCTATTAAGCTGTGTCTGTGCTGCGTTTGGCACTATGCTAGGCCCTGGGGATACGGCGATAGAGCTTTCATTCCCTTGGGGGTGCACAGCATGGCACAGTGGAGAGAACAGACTCAGGGGCTCTGGGTTCAAATCCCCAACTCTCCTACCTTATTACCCGTGTGACTTTACACAAGCCATTTCATGATCTGGGGCCTCAGTTTCCTCATCTGTAAAATGAGGGAGTTACACCAGACGCCCTCTAAAGTCCTTTCCAGCTCTAAAATCTATGAACCCACAAAGTCATTTAAGGATGGGGAAGGTGGTACAGACAGCGAAGGGGATGAAGGAAGGCCTTGTGCGTAGGAGGTGGCACTTTCATGGGGCCTTGAAGGGAAGGGATCTAAGAAACAGAGGTGGGGGGGGGCATTCCTGGTATGGATCACAGCCCAGGCAAAGGCATGGAGAGAGGAGATGGCTTGTCACGTGCAGGGAGCAGTTTGGTGACTGGAGGATGCTGTCTACAAGGGAGAGTCATGTAAAATCAGTCTGGAAAACCAGGTTGGAGCCAGACTGTGGAGGGCTTTCATTCTGGGCAGAGGCTTTTGAATCTTCTAGAAGCAATAGGGAGCCGGAGCAGTTTACTGAGCAGAAGAATAAGAGGATCAAAGTTTTTAGAGCTAGAAAGGGGCCTCAGAGACCATCTAGCCCAGCCCTTTTCTTTTTACTGATGAGGCCCATGGGGGACAGTGACTTCGCCAAGGCCACACAGACAGTAAACCTGAGAAACAGGCCAACTGTCTCCAAATTCAGCTCTTTCCCCTGAACTATCATGCCTCTCAGTCTGTGTTTTAGGAGGAATGGACCGGAGGCAGAGAGACTAATTAGAAGGCTAATGCAATAGTTTAACCAAGAGGGGAGGGCCTTAGACACATGGAGTAAGGATGGAAAAAGGCTTTGGCTGCAGCTTGTGGGAGTGCAGAGGAAGGAGAAGACAATAATTCCAAGAATTTAGAAAGCACTTCTCTCTTAAAGTCTTTCTTGTAAATGAGCTCACTTATCCCCAACAAAGTCCTCAGTGGATTTAATAGAGTTCACTTATTGAGTGCCTACTGTATGCCCAGCACCGTGCCCAGTGCTGGGGTTCTGAGATAATGACGAAGAAGCAAGGCCTGTGTTCGAGGAGTTCACATTCTCCGGGAGGATGCAGTATGTAAACAGAAGGTAATCTGAGGAGGAGGAAAAGAGCAGTCACCTACCTCCAAGGGGATGAGGGAAGGCTCCCTGTCGGAGGCGGCTCCTAAGCTGAGCCTTGAAGGAGAGTTGGAGAGAGGGTTAGCCCCTTTTTAGACATGGTAAAACCAAGATCTGAAGAGGAGAGTGGACTTTCCCACATAATTTCAGGAACCTGACAAAAGCGAGATTAGTCCATCCAGCTCTCCACAAAGGTGCCTTTCTGTTCTCTAGACCGTAAAAATGCTCACTTTGATCCAGTTGCCATGGAAAAACCTCCACAAAATTTGTAAGACAATCTTGCCCTCCCCACCGGGCTGCCAGCCCCTCCAACTTCAAGTCTGAGGGGATGGCCTAGCCCTGGGTCATTATCAGAAGGAAACAGGCTTCACAGAAGATGTGGGTGGCAGGCCTGGCAAGGCCCCCAGAGGAAAAAAAAAGAGATAAAGGGGAAATGGAGAGGCTGAGGAGGGCTCGCCTCCGTGGGCCCTTGTGGTCAATGGCCCACTTTTGGGAGCACCCCTGGAATGCAGGGGAATGTCCTCCCAAGGAGTCTAGGGCCTGAGCCAGAAACAGGCACCCTCCCTGGGGGGCATTTCCCTCTCTGGAGTCACGGAAACAGTCAGATGGCTCTCTCAATGGACTGGTCCAGCGGCCCTGAAGCCCACCAGCTGGGCAGCCGGCCCTCCCCAGGCAGAAAGGAGGAATAACAGAATTGTCTCTTCCCCCAGGCCAGGATGGAGGCCATTGCCAAGTTTGACTTCAACGCCTCCGGAGAGGATGAGCTAAGTTTTCACACAGGAGACGTCCTGAAGGTAAGAGACAGAACCCCAGAAAGCATGTATCTTTTTTTTTTTAGCTTATTGGAGGATGAACAGTCTAAGTCATCTGCCCAGCACCGGATGGATGGTTCCATTAGGAACCGCACCATTTTCCTCTAAGAATGAGTTTGCTGCATGAAGACTAGTCCAGCATGAGCAAAAATAACCCAGGGAGGCAGCTGAACTCTGACTCACCTCCAGCTTGATCTTGGAGAACAGGGAATATAACTCCATCTTCCTCCTCCCCATAGAGAAGTGGAGGACTATAGGGATGGAATGTGGAATACACTGAAAGGTCCAGTCCCAGAGCCCGGGTCCCTCGGCTTTTCTTTACTCTTTACTTTATCAGGAAGAGGAGTTCTACTGTGAGGGGGTGCAGAATATTTTGGGAAATAACTACAGAGTGCAAGAAATTAAAGGTGTCAATAAAATATTTTAAAATCAGTTAAATGCAGGGCAGAGATTCAGAAAATAAGTAGACAAGGGGTGACCCAATAAAGCCCATGTCGCCAGAGTCTGTTTTGGGGGGTTTTTGCTTTAGCTCTAGAGTCGGGGTGAAGTGCTTTGTTGACTTCTAGAAAAGGGAACCCATGGAGCTTTGAGCTAGCAGAGACCTTGGAGACTATCTGGTCCCAGCCTCACCTTGCAGCCAAGGCAGAGAAAGGAAGTGACCTTCCCAAGGCCATCTGACTGGTCGGTGAGCCCAAACTCAGACCCAGGTCACCTTCAGCACTTCCAGAGACCCGTGACTGTATCGGTGTGGTCACAGCCCTGCCAGGCCTTTGTACAACTTCAGCATTTGCTTCGGACGCTCAATAGTTCATTAGCTGGTGGGCCTCTGTCTGAAGATGGACCAGATGCTGACCACAAGGGCAGACAGCCATTCCAAGGCCTTGCCATGAGCAGCCTGTGGACCTCCCCTTCCCGCGATCTGCAATGTCTGGGCTAGCACATGGATGCCAGCCCACGTGAGCTTGCTCTCTGCTGGCATTGGGCACACCCGCCAGCCCCCAGCATGGTAGACGATGAGATGGGGGGCTTCCCTTCCAGCATCCTTGCCCAATCATTCCAATGGTGCCACTGCTCTCCCTTGACCCCTTCCCCTGCTATGCCAAGACTCAGGCTCCAAGAGCTCTAAAAGGCCTTTCCTACCTTCTCCAGAGGCATCTGCCACCCTGGGTATACAGCCCAGGAGCCCCACCCCTCCCCCCCGAAAAAAAAGAGGAAGGGCCTTGTCAGCATGAGCCTGAGGCACAGGGGAACCATCAGAGAAGGACAAGCAGCTGGGTGTCCCTCCTAGGTAGGAGTGCTGGGCCTGCAGTCACAAAGACCTGGGTTCAAAACCTGCCTAGAACTCTTACTAGCTGTGTGACCCTGGGCAAGTCACTTCTCTCATCAAGCCTCAGTTTCCTCATCAGTGAAATGAGCATAAAAATATTTGTAGTATCCACCTCAAAAGGTTGTTGTGAGATTCAAATGACAGAATGCACATTAAGGGCTTCACCAACCTGGAAACTCCACACAAATGTCACTTATTGCTTGTGGGATTGTTGCTGCTGTCCGTCCTTTGTTTCTGAACAGAGCCAATGACATCCCAGGTGATGCCTTGACTTGTGCGGGAACTGGATTTAAGTGAGGCGGAGCTGCACAGTCATTTGTATTATCACTACGGTGGGGATGGGGGGGAGTGGTGAAGAGGGTTATTCAACCACTCCTACTGCCCCCCCCTTACCCCACTGCTGGGTCACTGCCTGGTTGGGTTCCCCGCAGAAACACTCTCAACTCTGGCAAACTACGTCAAGGGATGTGTTATTCTCTCTCCCTCTCCTCCTCCTCCTACTCCTTCCTCCCTTCTCCTTCTTCTCCTCCTCTTCCTTTTCCTCCTTCTTCCTCTCCTTCCTCCTCCTTCCTCTTCCTTCTCTTCCTCTTCTTCCTCCTCCTCTCCTCCTCCTCCTTCTTCCCTCCTCCTCCTTCTTCTCCTCCTCTTCCTTCTTTTCCTCCTTCTTCCTCTCCTTCCTCCTCCCTCCTCTTCCTTCTCCTTCTTCCCTCCTCTTCCTTCTCTTCCTCTTCCTCCTCCTCTTCCTTCTCCTCCTCTTCCTTTTCCTCCTTCTTCCTTTCCTTCCTCCTCCTTCCTCCTCCCTCTCTTCCTCCTCTTCCTCCTCCTCCTTCTCCTTCCTTTTCTTCCTCTTCCTGTCTCGGCTTTGATAGGGATGCTAATTGGACAGAACATGTGGAAGCAGTACGGACTCCTTCGAGAGCATGTGAAAAGCCTTAGAACAGCCAGCCCTGGGAGCACAATAGTGAGCACGCCTGGCCATTGCACCCTGTCTGGGCGTGAGAACATCCACAGCCATACTTTAATAAAATGGACTGGGGGGGGGGGGTTGGTGCAGTAGAGAGAACTGTGGAGGCAGATTTGGAGGCAGAAGATCTGGGTTCAAATTCTATTTTGCAACTTACTACCTATGTGACCACAGCCAGGTTGGTCGACCCCTCTGGACCTCAGTTTGCTCATCTATACGATAAGAAGGTTGGACTGAGTGGTGTCTAAGGTCCCTTGCAGCTCTGAATCTTTGAGCCCTCCAACCCATGGTAATTGATACAATCAGCAAAAGAGTAGAAGAGAAGAGAAGGAAGCCCAGGGCAGAGAAGGATGTGCACATTGTGGTTTGGTTCCCCCCCCCCATACTTAATCTCAACACACTCCTTCCCCTCCTGCCTCAAGGCAGATCTACCAGGACTTTTGCAAGTTCAATGGAAACAGCTACGTCTCTGGAGCCGGAGGACCTGGGTTCAAATCCTGCCTCTGCCACTTTCTATCTGTGTGACCTTGGGCAAGTCACGTCCCTTCCCCGGGCCTCAGTTTCTCCATCTGGGAAATGGGTGGGTTCGACTGAATGATCTCTACAATCCCTTCCCTCTGAGTGCATGGTCCTGGGTCTTCAGGAGTTCTCCAGTTCTACCCAGCCCTTCCACTGCCCATGATGCCTATCTCTTCCCACACCTCAGAAGGGAAGGAAATAAACATTAATTAAGCGCCTGCTACACGCCAGGCACTTTGGTAAGCTTAAATAGTATCTCATTTGATACCAGAAGGCTGGCAGTTTCAAAAAGATGAAAGCGCAGTAAACCTCAGTGGCTATGACGTCACTCGTTTACCCAGAACTCTCTGCTGGCACTCAGATAATGAGTGTGGAAGATAAGGAAGCCAAACTGATGGGGAGATGAGAACAGGAAACAGGAGGCCCCTCGCCACAGCGACGGGAGGAAACCGCCACGCACCATCCCCTCAGCCCAGGCACAGAAAGGGAGGGATGAAAACGAGCCTTTGGCACACCTGGATGGCCTGCCAACGAACTGGGCTAGAAACCCAGGCTCTCATCACTCAGGCTCCAAGGGACCGAGGCAGAGAAAAAGGGCATTGGAGGGAACCTCAGAGCAAAGGCCCTGAAGGACTGGGTGTGGCAGGGGCTGGGGGCACCTTCCAAATTCGGCACCCTGGGGCAAAGACCCAGCTGCCCGCCCTGGTTATGGCTCCACATCCTCCTACCTACGTAACACGAGACAAGTCTTTCCGTCCCTCTAGTACTCAGCTTCCCCATCTGTACAAGGAGGAGGTCGGCCCACATCACCTCTGAGGTCCCTCCTCCCTGTAAATCCTGCAATCCAGACATGCCGTCCCTGTCTAAATTACTTTCTCTGTAATATCCTCACTTATCTATGCACAAAACGTCGGCTGCCCGGACTGAACTCCCCGGGTCTGCGCCCTGGGGAAGACGGATTCTTGGGAGTGAGACGCTCCTACGTCTTTGATGTGAGCACCAGCTCTCCGGGCTTGAATGCTGATTGCCTCTTACGGGTGCCCGAACACGCACGCTGCAGGAGACCAGCCAAGGCGGTCAAGGCCCCTGGAAGCTCTTTCTTAGCAATTTCTCGAGCTGTCAAAGACGGGACCCATTTTTATTCCCTCATGCAATCTATTAAGTTCAAAGCTTTGGCACACAGCATCTTCAGAGAACTCCTGACCCCGTCCTTGCTTCTCTGAGCTGTGGTTTTCCACCACCATCAGACCTCCCGTTTGGAGAGTACTTTATAGCCAGGCGTCATTTCCAGATACATTCTCCAGGTTCGAGTTTCAAAAACAGCCCTGAGAGGAAGGGGCGTGGCTCATTTTTCAGATGAGAAAACACAGAGAGGTCCTAGTGACTTATTTAATAGCAGGCATATCAACAAAGGTTTGCAAAGCATTCTACTTATATCATCTCATTTCATCATCACAACAACCCTGAGAGATGGGTGCTTTTATTTTCCCCTTTTAACAGATGAGGAAACTGAGGCATAGAGGGAAGAAGTGATTTGCTCAACGTCACATAGCTAATAAAGACGAGTTCAAGATTTGAACCACAGCTCTCTTTTTTTTTTATATATTTGGTTTTCGTTTTATTTTTTTCTCACATGTAAACAAAACATTTTAACATTCATTTTTTAAAATTTTGAATTCCAAATTTTCTCCCTCTCTCCACTTCCCCAAGGCAAACAATTTGGTACAGATTATACATGTGCAATCATGCAAAATATATTTCTATACTAGCCATGTTGCAAAAGAAAATGCAGACCAAAAAAACAAGAATAATGAAGAAAGTAAAAAAATGCATGCTTCGATCTGCATTCAGACTCCGTCAGTTCATTCTATGGAGGTGGACAGAATTTTTCACCGTGAGTCCTTTGGGATTGTCTCGGTTCACTGTATTGTGGAGAGCAACTAAGTCATTCACAGTTCTTCATCATATGATATTGCTGTTACTGCGCACAATGTTCTCCTGGTTCTGCTCGCTTTACTTTACGTCACTTCATATAAGTCTTCCCAGGTTTTTCTAAAATCTGCCTGCTCATCATTTCTTATGGAACAGTAGTATTCCATTACATTCATATACCACAACTTGTTCAGCCATCCCCCAATTGATGGCATCCCCTCAATTTCCAATTCTTCGCCA